GCCTGAATATGATATAAATTAAGAAAGAGATTGCATAAGCTGACAATGCCTTGCTAAAAATAGACTATGATATCGGATCATGTGCATATATTGAATTGAGTTAGGATAAATTGAAGATATGACTTTTGAATGAGACCAGAGTGATTCCAACAGTGCTGAATCGTGGAAGCGCTAGCTTTAGACAATGCAGCATCGCACCAGAGCAGTACAGCTAGCTGGTCGACGCTGTGCAGGTTGCCGAGGGCCTTCGCCTAGGCGATCCACTCAGCTAGCTCATTATACGACAGATTAGGTGAGCGAGCAGCCTTCTCGAGGATGGCTACCTTCTCGGACCAGGTGAGGCGGAGACGATTGGAGGAAATGGGGGTGCTGAGGACGCAGTCGGCTAGTGAGGTTGAATGTAAGTGTAGGAATGAAGCTCGGCTCGTAGGGCTTGAAGCGAAGGAGGATCACCTACTGCGCGCCATTTTTTAAATTGAAATCAATGTCAGTGCCTGGATTGTTTTGTCAGTACCTTGCCCATCACTATCCCATCTCCCTAAATCTTTCCCGAATATAAAAATTGCGAGGTTTTTAGTTGAAACCCCGTTCCTTATTCAGGCAGATTTCTGTATACGTCGTATACCTGTGCCATATACCGTTTGAATCATACACCCCTCGTTTGAATCGTGTCCCTTTGAATCGAGTACCCCCTTCCCCCTAGCCATTCGAAATTCTGGGCGGGAAAATGGACGTACGCCCGCGATCGGCTCAGAAGCGCCGGCAGCATGCTGCTGCGAGCGACGAGAGCGACGACAGTAACGAAGACGACTGGACTGCGCCGTCCGAGGCCTCGCGCTCGGCATCGTCTGGAACCTCCGGCCAAGTGGACACGCTCAGTGACAGCAGCAACCACGTGAATTTCCAGTCTGGTCTATCTGAAGAACCGCACCCTCTCCAGCGCACGCCATTTAGCTCATGGGAGTCGTTCCATGCCTTTTTGAACGAGTACAGCGCGCAAACGTACCAGGTACATCAAGTGTGTTGTTTAATAAAAATGGTGAGTATTAACGTTGAGTATGTTAGAGTTTTCGCGTCCGGACGAACAACAAGGTCGAGGAGCGCAACAAGAAGATAAAGAAGGCGAGCTCACGAGCGCCTCTGATCCCGCTAGAGTGGGGTATGTATAACAAGACGCTGGTTTGCACGCACGCTGGCACGTTCAAGTCTCGGGGCAAGGGCAAACGTGCGCGACAGGAGTCACGCGCAACGAGGTGCGGAGCGCAGGTAAGTGGCTAGATGGGCTCAGATGGGCTCCGATGGGTTTCATTTGGGTGTTGATTGGCACAGATGGGTAACGCGTGCCCGTAATCGACTAATGCATCTGTATGTATGCCAGATCAACGCATGCATCCGTGTGATTAACAACAAGCCCGACGACCCCGAATTTGCCCTGTGCGTGACAACTGCAAAGCTAGCGCACAACCACAGGCTCGACCGGATGACCCATCAGCAGTACGCGTCCGTGCGCACTGCTCTTCCAACTCGTGTGGTGGATACGGTTGACATTCTTCGCAAGGCAGGGGCTAAAAAGAAACGGATCCTCGAGTACATCCTCGAGAATGCGGACAACAGTGTGGAGATTCGTGACGTGCATAATCTCGTCCGCAAGCTGAAAGAGAGAGAAACTGCAGAGACGACGAGCAAGGTGCGGATGAAGACATGGCTGACAGAGTTCAGAGAGGAGCCCGGTAACATAGGACGCATCTTTGTGGGTAACCGCGGAGATAAGGTTTGATGGCGTTCGTCTGTGAATAATATGGTGGTCTAAATTAACGCACCTCTTGTTCTCGGTTGTGTTTAGAAAGTGGCAACATGTATTGTTCTTCAGACCAAGCGCATGCGTGAGATGTTTTACCGCTTTCCTGAAGTGATGCTAATCGACGCGACGCACGGCACTAATTCATCCAAGTACAAGATTTTTTCTTTATGGTGCACGACGCGTTTGGTACGGGCCAGCTTGTTCTGCGCGCAGTTCTACAAAACGAACGCGCCGCGACTCTTATGACGGCCACCGAGGAGTTTAAGAAGAACACACCTTCCTGGACCAAGTTGCAGTGCGTGGTCATCGACAAGGACTTCACCGAGATGGCTGTCCTTAAGGCTGCGTTCCCCGGTGTCCGCATTCTCCTATGTCAGTTCCACGTGCTCAAGTACCTCCGTGAACAGCTAGCGTCCTCCGAGTATGGTCTGTCGCCGTGGCAGAAAGCTCAGTTGCGGAGCGTGATTTCGTTAATGGTGTACGCGACGACGGAGCGTGAATTATTCAAGCATCGGGAATACATGCGCCACATACTCTCAATTGGCATGGAGGCTTCGCGTCGCGAGACCAGCGCGGACAGGGGCGGCAGCTTTGCACGGGCCGCAGTTACCCCCCGTGCAGATGGTGCTCAGCTGGGCACCGACGGTAATTTAACCATCTCAAACCATCTAGATGGGCCAGCTGATGATGCCGAGACTCATCCGTTTGAGGCATACTTCCACAAGAACTGGGACAACTGCAAGGAGATGTGGGCCGCCTATGAGCGTCAAAGCGCTGTGACGATGGGAAACAACACCAATAACCGGCTGGAACTGTCGTGGAAGCACTTGAAGGACACGATGAACGGTTTCATGGGTTTAGACGAGTGTGTAGCCTCCCTTATCTGCTACCAGGTTCGCGTAGAGCGAGCATTCGATGCTAAAGCTACCACGGTCGGTATGGTGCACAATCCCAAGTATGACAGAGAGATGTCACTAGTCGCGAACCTGGTCAGCAGACACGCATGCGAACTTATCTTCGACCAGTACGTTTACGCCATGGGCAGTACAGCTCACTACAATTTCTATGAGGCAGTCTCTGGCATCATTTTTATCAAGAACGAAACGGAGGTTGATGAAGCACTGGACGAACCGAGCGTGGAGTATTCGGTCAACAAGAAAAATTGGAAATTCTCGTGCTTGTTCATGTCGACCAGGCGGCTTCCTTGCAGGCACGTTTTCTATATTCGAAAGGCGATGCACATGGAGGTTGTGATCCCTACACAGCTCCTGCCGTCACGCTGGCTGTCTCGAAGCGCTCTTCTTAGGTGCGTCCATGGAGCGCGCGATGATCCCGGTCAGCTGCAACGGCAACCACTGGAGCTCGATCATGGTCGACTTCACAGAGCATAAACTATTCTCCTACGACCCGATGGATTCAAGCTACAAGGTGGGGCTTCGTGCTGCTACACAAGTGATCAAGTCAATGGTTCCATCTTTGCAGTCGCGCACTGGCCGTGTCCAACCGTACACAAGCACGCTCGGCGTCCAGACCGACAGCTACAACTGCGGCATCTATATTCTGGCCACCTTCGAAATTTTTAGTGGCGCGGACTCGCCTGTGTTCGTCGACAAAAAAACCCTCCAGCACCTGCGCTACCGATACCTTAGTATGTGCACGTAAAAATTGCTTTGAGAAGATTTCATGTCATGCGAACCTTTGTTCAATGCTGGATGGGTGCGCCTGCTTGAGATTCCGACAGTCTTACTTGTGACCCAAACGCTAATATACTCGGTAGCAATCATGATGACAATGTGTGGCGATGTGTTAATGTGGGCTGACAGAGAGAGGACCATCCTGAGATGCAGGCAGGTTCACTTCCGGATATACACATTACACACGTATATCTCGACAGCTCATCAACAACCTGATGGGCTCAGATGGGCACCAAGTGGTCGTGGATGGGTGTCAGATGGGTATGGGTGGTCACAAATGGGCACGATGGCTCGTCTCTGATTCTCTCAGATGGGTGCAGTAACACGTGCCCGGAAAAAATCCGGGTACATGTACCTATACTGCAATACATGTAAAGTGACTTACTTAAGCACATATGAGACAACCCAAAACAAAATGAAACTTATGAACCTAAGTACGAATCGCGATGTAAGCAGTAGCTTAACGAAAGCAGGGCGTCTCCTCTATCTTTTGAGCCATTATAAGCTACAGAATGCTTAAAATTGAAGAGGTTGTGGTCGTTTAAAAATATTATCTCGGCCCCTCGAAATGATGATACATTTAGGAGTGTTGTGAGCCCAATATTTTTTCAATTTTAAAAATTCAAGTGTTATTTTTAAAGCTCTTGTCAAAAGCAATTGAATAAGGGTAGTTTTACAGTTTTTTCGATGGAAGTTTACAATAAATATCACTGTTTCGGTCAAGTGTTGGTAACCTTTATGAAGGATGTGCGACGAGAAGAATGGGTAAACCGGCTTCTTATTAATTTAATTTTACATTGTGACCTAAAACCGCTTGTTGCTTAGCATTTGTACAGATTTACTGATTCAATATTTCAAAGAGCAGCAAACGCGATGGCTTCAAACGTATATTGCTGGTAAGGAAAGCGATGAGAAGGGTCTAAGTGCGTTTATGATACTATGTCAGTGGTTTGCAGCACGGTAATATCTTTTGATTTTGCTGATTTTATATAATTGCTTTATTAAATAGTGTGATATTCGTGGAGCTACTAACACATCCGGTTGGTCATGTATACTCAGTGCAGGAGAGCAGTTTAATGGATGCCAAAGTGTGGGCTATATATGTACGAGAGCTGCTCAAGCTCGAGATCGAGGCACTATCAGTGCTTATACTCGATAACTTCGACGCACATGTTTCAAAAGAAGGACTTGATGTTGTTGTCGAGACAACGTCGGCCCTGGTTTGCCAGCTACCGCCCAACAGTACAGCGGCCTGCCAGCCACTAGACGTTGAGGTTTTCAACTTTGCTTTTTGCTAATTAATTCGTTTTATCTACCAATAAAAATGTGCGACGGATTTTCCTGTCGCGAAAACAAAAAAAGAACTACTATGGAGGATGGCGTTCAGAGGGTGGCGTCGAGGGTGGCGGATTTCACCGTCGTTGTCTGTAATAATACACGTCAGCAAATAAATCCAACCTGAGTGTCACAATACATGCACAGTAATTTCAAGAACCCGAGTTGAAATTTTCAACTCGGGTTCCATTCGGCTCGTCGTCACCTTGAGGAACTCGTCTGTGGATGTAACCCTCTTCGCAACTTATTGAAAACGCATCGTCACTGAGCAAGATCTGTGGTGCTCGTCACGTTCAAAAAAGTGTCAAAGATGTTCGTACACCACCACAAGACAAATACACTGAGGCCAAAATTGTCCAATGGTCTACTAGTAGTAAATGCGAAAATGTGATAATATATATCGACTGACTAACAATAGCATCATGCGCATGTAGAGCTCACCAAGCGAAGTCCAAATTTACCTCTCGTCCGAGCGGTTAAGCGGTATTGAACCTCATCTAAGCGGAGACGTGTTCAGTTCGTTCTGCGCCTGTCAGCAAAGTGGCCGTCTGCGATGCCTTCGTCTCCTACGAAGCTTCGTGGTCCGACGGTGACCACGTCGCTAGAGCAAGAAGACGTCGAGCAGCTCCGTTCCCTTTCGGTAAGCGACATCGACGACAGCAATGACATCGAAGTGATCAGCACAACCGAAGCGGACGAAGACGTGCCACGAGACTCACGTCGAGAGGAGGAACAGCCCATGACGAAGGAGAAACGACTCGCTTTCAAGCAGCTGGAACGTTGGCGAGCCGCTATGAAGAAGAAATCCAAGAGACTTGGTCGCAGAAGTGTCCGATGGAACGCCAAGACCCAAGCGTACGACGACGAGGAGATTGAATTCGACAATCTCTTCGGTACTAGCAGCACCTTTGGCAAAGAGGTAGGTCCGACAAAAACAAACTTCTGAGTGAGCTTCAACTTACTCACTTTTTATCTTCTCTGAACAGCTGCAAGTCGTGAGCTATCCATTCCCGATCTGGATCTTCGGAGTCTTGATCATGCTCGGAGCTTCCGTCTTCGTCCACAGTGTGCACCAGAGAGACGACGAGGACGAGAAACCGCACCATGTCACGTGGTGGAAATACCTCGTTGCAGTCGTCATCTACATCTTGGGCTTCGCACTCATCGCCAACGGCCGAGTCGAGACCTTCTACATGAACAAAGAGACGTCTCGACTCTCGGTGCGCTCCAACAAGCCGCTGTGTCTGAGTACTCGCTACATTCGCTCAGTGGAGCGCGATATGCGCCACGTCACGAACATTCGCGTCGAAACCACTGGAGAATACAGTGGAGACGTGGACACTCGGACGTACAAAGTCCACTTTGACTTCGACGATGGCTCGCACGTGTCGGCGCTTGAGAGTCGCTCCAAACAGAAAACCATGCGTCGTTGCCGGCACATTAAGGCGTTTGTAGCAGCCTCTTCCGCTCCGATTGCTTCGATACGCTCGGCGTCGGAACATTTCCCCTCTGCGATGAAAGGACCAGGCTCTCCACTACGTCAAAACCGCACTTCACCGGCCAAGTTAAGTCTTGAGTAACTCACGAACTTTGCTTTTGCTTATCCTGCATTTTTCTAACATCCCATTCAAAGCTGTTCAGTTTATTGTTTCTTTTGGTGTTTCATCCACTGGTTGTTGGCTAGAGTTGCCTCCCTTTTTTGTCAAAACGTCCTCGCTACTTCCTATACTATTCATCTATGTCCGCAGTCCAAAGCCTTTTTGATATGCAGTGCTATAGTACCACTTTTAATCACTTGAGGTCTTTGGACTCTTTGAACATCACCACGACACACGTCACATTATCTGTCGACCGTTGATGGAAGATCGCGTACTCAATGATAGCCTAAGAAAAAAAAAATACAGGTTAGCTAAAGTCCTCTTATACAGGATAAGACAAAAAAATAACTTACCTCCACAGCACGTTGCACATCTCCGAGCTGTACGATCTTCTGCCGCATAAAGTCCACCGCTTCTTGATCTTTAAGTACGTCGTACAGTCCGTCACTTGCCAGCATGACGAACTCGCAGTCGTCCGTCAGCTCCGTAATTGTAATTTCCGGTGTCGGGATCACCAACGGGCCTTTTAGAATGTCGTTCGGATTCACCGGCAGCTCCTGCGAGTCGTAATCACTTCGAGGCTTCGAGTCCACATCTTCCAGCGGCGGATCCGTTAGGTCAAAGGTTTTAAACGGCGCGTCGCCGAAAGCGCGAGACACGGCGAGTTCCCCCATAATGCGTCCGTGGATGACAAAGCCTCCCGTGTCCCGGATGCGCTGCGCCTCGTCCGAGCGACTGGGTTTGTGGTCGTTCGACAGCCGCTCGGCCTTGCCATTGCGGCTGAGAACGGTACGCGAGTCTCCCACATTCGACACAAACATGTACTTGCCGGCCACAAAGACCGTAGTTGCGGTACTACCCGCTTGCGGTCGCTCGGATTCGTCCAGAAACTCGTCGTCCGTGCGCTCGAACGTCTCGGTTAGACGTTTAGTAATCATCGACTGCAACTCCTCTGGCGACGTGTTGACCAGTGGCTTCAGTTCCGCTTTCTTCATAAAAAAGGCCTCGATGAGGTTGTGGTGCAACACGTCGCTCAGGTACGACGACGCTTCCTCTCCCCCGTGGCCATCGTACACTGCGAAATACGATTGTGGGTGCAGCCCCAAGCGACTGAGCGACTCGATGCACAAGTCCTGGATGATCGTATGCGCGTCCTCCATATGTTTCCGTGCACCCATATCAGCATGTGCGCCAAAGTCGAACCGGTTCACCGTCAGGCACGTCTGCGCCACGAGTAGATCGTCGCCGATCTCGAGGCGATACGGTTCCTGGTAGCTGCCCACGAGCTTCATGAACGTGCCGTTGGTCGAGTTGAGGTCCACCAGGTAGAACTGGTTGGTCAGCTCGTCGAACCAGATCGACGCGTGTTTACGCGACAGTTCGCCGTCCCCAGTGTGGATCTTATTCTCGGCCGATCGGCCGATGCCGGCGCCGTCCCGGCCAATAGTGAACTGCGTGCCTGCCAGTTTGCCGCTCAGCGCCGACACTTCTAGTGTCTGCGACGGCTCGTGGAACGCTGTGACCATGAAATCCGATTTGCCCACACGGAAAGAAACATGAGGCTCCAAGGGCCATTGCATCCGGTCCTCGGCGTTGTCTTCGTCTCCGTTGCCCACGGGACTCAAGCGGACGAACGTGTCACTTGCGTTGTCGCCATTGGCCAAGTAAAAGCGTCCGCCACTGTACAACACGCGCGCATGGTCTTTTGTGGCGAGAAGCTTGTCCGCCGGGATGCTTGCCGCATTGTCGGCACATCGGCCGATGCCGCCGCCATTCGTGTCGAAGCGGAAACTTGTGACGGCGTCTTCCTCGGAGAAGGCCGTCATTTTCAGCACCACGTGGGTCCACTTTTGTTCAACGTATGGAGGGAGGCCGTCCTCGTCCACTTCTCCTCCACTCACAGGAGGGGACGCAGTGGACGACGACACTGACTTGGTGGGTGACGGCGGCGGCTGCGCGGCGTTCTCATCCACCGGCTCTGTCAGTGCCGTCTCGAAATGTTCGCTCTTGCTTATTGTTTTGCTGCTCGGTGCGCTTTTGCTTTTGCCACGGCTTCTGTTGCTGTTGCGGCTGCCATTGCTGCTGTTGCCGTTCAGGGCCGTGGAATAGCTGCCGACACTGCTCGTGTTGGAGCGCAGAAGGCGGTTCACGCCCGAGGTGCGCGCGCGCACGAAGGACGTGGCCTTGCGCGAGTCTGACTCTACTTTTTGTGCAAAGATTGTCAATGTGTCAGTGGCAAAGTGCCATTTGTCAGTGGAAAAGTTTCTCAGTTTTGCCACGTACGAGGCGGTTCCAGCCGCAAAGTGGAGGAGCGTCGACGGTCAATGTCGTTTTCATGTTTCCTCGCCACTGCGAAAAACACACAACTCGATTAAATAAATTGCGTCTATCGTGAGTTTGCCACTTGTTGAAACTTGCCTTTCATCTTGAGCGTTTGCACGTCCTGCCCGTCCGCCATGATGCCTAGTCTGTCTTGTTGTCTCTTTGATGTTAGTGTCTTCTTGTGGCTGTGTCCAAGCTTCTTTTTTCGCTGCTGGGCCGATTCTCGAGGCGGGGGGCTCGTTTCAGTGGCCAAACGCGACGTATGCGCCACTCCAGGCGTGTAGGGAGATGCGAGTCCGGCAGGGGGCGATGGCGAAGTCTCTGCCGCCGTCCGGGAAAAAGGATGGTATCAGCTGGTGTGCACCACTTCAATGTATGTGGTTTGACAATCAGCTGTGACTTGTGTTCAGTATGGTGCAGAACAGCGGGAGAACACGGAACAAGCCAAAACAAAGCCGTGAAGAGATGAAGATGGCAAGTTTGCACCAAAGAAGGAATTTAAACAAAAGAAGGAGTTTGTGTGTCGTCACGCAAAAGTTTTTTCTTGCAATTATTAACGCAATTACTACATACGTAGTGATGTGAGAACGCCGGGTGCCTTCCTATAAGTACATGCACGACCAGTTTGGGTCTATGTCTCAGCTTGTTTGACAGCATGTCGTATAGAATCAGGAACTTGTAATCGCATGCAAATACTCGGTTGGTTTGTCGGTCTGCGTTCGCAATGAGGAGAATGTTGCTGTGAAAAGTCTGAAATCAATCTATTTGAAGGTACAAATTAGAGCCTGATTTCCCAAGATCCTTATCATCAAGTTATACAGGATCGTTAAAGCGGACTCCTTGGCACCGCACATACATTTATTAACACCATGTTTTTCAGTGATGCAGCGAACTCATAAATTAGTTTCCATTCATTCCGACGCTACTTAATCCAAAGGGCAAGAGCTTCTGAGTCTGCAGGTTTCGTCCACCACCCTCAAATGCTCCCATCCCTCCACTTTTTGGACTCGCTGGCTAGCTTCCCCACTGCGAGAATGATGCACCTTTCGCATCACCTTACTCAAACGTCAGCTACCCACGGACTTGACTAACTGGACTCGGACTGCTTAATAGGCACTTCGACTTTGGTACTTGGCACTCTACTTTGACAGATCCCGCTCAGCAGTACGACGCGTCCGTGAACCGGGACTCTTTCCCTCGGTAGAACGAAGACGCGTCACTGTTGGTACTGTCGCCCCGGTTTCGAGGCGGAGCAACAGCCCGTTCGTACTCGCTGAATCCGCTGCTCTGGAAACTCTTGCCATCCGCGTATCTGCTGTCGTAGCCGCTCTGATCCGACGCGTAACTCTTCTCGTACCCACTCTTAGTGGCGGCAAAGCTCTTGTCGTAGCCACTTTTGCCACCGGCATAGCTACTCTCGTAGCCTGTGGACATGCGGTACTCCGTGTACTCGGACTCCTGGAAGCGGTTTTTACCATTGTAGTCGCTCGCAGAGGTAGAGCGAGAGTCACTCGGCTCAAACCGGGACTCTGCCATCGACCGGTCCATGCCGGCTGCCGGGCCGGCACGGTTTCGGTTCCGGCCGGCAGTGTTCCACACGTTGGTCGCTTGTGACATATCCTGGATCGAGTCGCCCTCGAAGTCGCTCTCACTTTCCGAGCCGGCGACGTCGTTCTCCCCCTTGCCTTGACGCATACCGGGGTATTTGCCTACCACCTGACTGGCCGACTGGTCCGTACTGTAGGCACTTTGAGCGTAGAACGAAGAGTACTGCGAGTCCGAGTACTGGGAGGAGTACTGGCTGCTATGGCCGGACTGGGCCATGGGCGGTAACGACATTTGCGAGTGTGCGAGGGCAATCTGACTCCGCGGCGTGAGCACGTCGAGGTTCGGATCGTTGTAGGTGACTCTACCGGCACTGTTGTGGCCGTGGTGGTGCCCGTACGCCTCCTGGTCGTACTGCCCATTGTGCTGGTTATCGTAGTATTCGTCGCTGTAGGGCGACATGTTGTGGTTGTCGTGGTAGTTCGCATTCACCGTCGACGACTGTGCGGTGCCTTTAGTAGCGTCATGACGTGCCGTTCGAAGCACGGGGTCCATGTCGTCTTCGTCTTCATCCTTGGCATTTGTCTTGATGTAGACGAACACGGCGACGAGCATCACCAGAGCCACAGCTCCACCCATCATTAGTCCGAGCAGTAGAGTGTTCGACATGCCGGTCTTGTCGGCCGATGCCGAGTCGGTCATCACGGATGCCGCGGAAGACGAACCGGAGCCGGACTTTGACGCTGAAGTCGATGATGAGGTATCAGACTTCTGCTTCGAGTCGGTATCTTCCGAAGTATCGCCAGTCGAGTCCTGTTTGCCAGAGTTCGAGTCCTTCTTGGTTGAATTTGACGTCTTTTTGCTCGTGTTGGATGCTTTCGAACTTGCACTCGCATCGGATTCCGATCCCGACGCAGACTCAAACGTTTTCTTTTTGGGTTTCGGCTTTGTTTTCTTTGGTTTAGGCGTCTCAGACGACGATCCAGATTCTTCCGATTTGGACTCATCCGAGGTCGGTGCCGACGCCGAGTCCTCGGTATTCGAGTCTTCTTCTGCTGTGTGAATGCCATTGGGCACGGGTGTCGTCTGCTCCAGATACGGCGACTTGGTAAAGACGGTTTTCTTTTTCTTCTTCTTCGTCGTCGACCCCGAGCTCTCGGTATCTTCCTCCGATCCCGATTTCCCGGTTGAGCTCGCAACTGGAGACTCTTCGGTTGTGCCGGAGTCTGACCCGTCCGAGTCCAGCGTTCCATCGTACCTGGACGCCGTCTCACTGTCAGCCGCCGGTGCCTGCGCTCGAGGGGGTTTAGTCCTCGGTCGAAGTGTCGGTCGAGGTGTTCTCGCCGGAGGCTCTGGCGTCCGTCTCGGCGTCTCCTCTGTATCGGACGAATCTGCCGGCGCGTTCGTAATTGGAATCCACGTCCGGGTCGGTCTCCGTGCCGTCGGAGTCGGGGTACGGATACTATCAGGATCAGAGTTCGAATCCGTATTCGATTCGGGATCCCTATCCAAACTTTGCATCGTGTACACCTGTGCGTCAGCGCTGACCAGCGCCACCGCAATCAGCGCCAGCATGAGCCACCGTCGGTGGACCTGCATCGTCCTGCCTCGGAGCTTGACGCTGCAACCTGTTCAGCTGTCTGCTCTGGCTAATCGAAAAGTGCTGCGCTGTCACCTGCAATATACTAGACGTAGCGGACTGGCCGTCCGTCCAGTGAGGGAATGTCAATCACTTGGCGCCGCGAACTGGGGCGACGGAAATGCAAATGCAGCACTGTGCCTTTCGGAGCAGGAGAGTCAGATGTAGGGGACCAGCGGGTGGTCGAGGCCATGTACAATTCGTTCTACGCTCGACTCACTTCTGCACGCCGGTGATCCACCATAGCGATCGGTGGAGCCAGCTGCTGGCAATAAACCACGCGGTTGTGTCGACCAATTCCACAGACAAATATTGGCAACGGCAAAGCGGCATGCACTTTCGGAGCTAGGATATCGCGGGCTGGGGCGGAACTTCTGTCGTGGGGATGGAGTTCGGTGCAGTGTTTGGTCTCAAAGCGAGCGAGCGGCATTCCGTCAACATGGCCGATAGGTTGGCAAAATCAAGTTGACCTAATACTAAAATAAAAGCTGCAAAGACGTTGGTACATGTAGTTCGAACACCTTTTGCGGTATGCTGTGTCGGCCTCAAGTTGACAGTGAGACCGGCAATAAGCAAAGTACATGTACCACATGCTGACTACCGTTGTGGTGCCATCTGCGCTCCAAGCAGCGTATGGTCCGAAAGCAGCGTTGGCAACGATGTATTATAAATATACATTCCTACGGTGATGCGGAAACTGTTCCTGGTTTTCATGTTTACTGCTGCAGCAGGACAGCACTTCATGCTTGATCAAAAGTCGAACCGTGGCTTGTGAGTTGTCGTCTCGGACGGGCTTGTACAGCCACAAAGGCCAGCAAGGTGTTGGGATTTGAACCCCAACGCCCCGACGCGTTGTCGCCGCTAACACACCCATGTGGTCAGCCCGGCTATCGGTGGTCGTGTCCTCAATGACGATCGACTCACAGCAATAATGACGATCGACTTGCTGTTCCATCGAACGGAGAGGCGGTCTCGTTGTCCTGACAATGATGTCGGTCGCTCTCTCAACGTATCGATACTTAACCTGGCTACCTCGATTACAATTGTGGAGGCTTACGATGAGTATCAAGAGGATACGGTACGAACATTCAACGTGGTCCTCTAACTTGTGGTATTATAGCAGCAGCTCTCTCATGTGCCCACCAACTCCTCCGCGTTGTCGTCTCGCTTCCAGATCCGCGAAGCGTGTGAGTCGTTGCACGACCACCGGAAGCTTCAGACGCTGCTGAGGGTCAAAGCAGCACATTTGCTTGACGAGTTCCCAATGAGCGTCGTCTTGAAAGCCCTTGGGTCGAGGCGGCAGTGCACCGCGTCGTACGTGGAAGCGCACGGCTGCATCCGGCATGCGAGCACCCCACGGGAACTCGCCACTAATCGCCTGAAGAATGCACATGCCGAACGAGTACACGTCCGACTCGAAGGTCGGTGGTGTGCCGGTCAGGCACTCGGGTGCTTTCCATCTCTGCGCACCCACCACCGACACTTGAGTACTTTGTTCCTGTTCACTATCGACATATCGACGGATAGAGCTGAGGCCAAAGTCCGTGAGTTTCGCTGTCCCGTCGGCAGTCACGAGGATGTTGTCGCACTTGAGGTCTCCGTGTACGATGCTGTGCTGATGAAGGTATTGCAGCCCAAGTGCACTCTGGCGGAGCTTCTTCCAAGCCTCACAACGCCTGTAGCAGCCTACACTGTCGGCTGAGAAGCCAGAACTGCATGTAGACCCGTTGGACGTCTCTCTACTGAAGCCACTGGTGTGTCCACTAACGGTAGAGGTAGATCTCAAGCTGCTGGTGCCTACACTAGTGCCCACCGGGTCGAACCGATGTAGATACGTGTCTAGACGGCCATTGGTTGCCGGTTCGCACACGAAGAAGGGCTGGCCGCCTACATGGCAGCCGCCGTACAATTTAACCACATATGGGTGGTTCAGTCGACACCAGATACTCAATTCTCGATAAAACACAGCACTAGGCTGAGCAGCCAGTGGGTTAAATGACACAGGTGTGAGCTTCTTGATGACGACGGGTGTACCGAGCCACGTTCCAGAATGAACCGAGGCAAACGCACCCTGACCCAGAGACTCCCGTGGGTTAAATTCGACTTCGTACGGCGGGATAAACCATTTCGGTGGTCGCCACAGGTGGGAACTATCCGACGTCGACGCGATATATCCCAACACGCAGAGCCCATGGCTTCCACTTGTGCCGGTGTGTAGCTAGAGCGATGGCGAGTGACCTCGAACCGTAGCAACGCGAGGATTTCTTCCCGGTCGTGGGCATCTTTGAGCTCGCCCAGCAGTAACTCGGCCGCGTCTGGGTTCATCAGCGTCCACGTGCAGCTCAGCGTCCGTCGCGCTCGATGTGAATACCATTGGCCCTTCCAGTCGTGCAGGTCTTCCTTCTCCGACGACAAACACTCATGCGAGCGCAGTAAATCGTCCAGGTCTTTGTGAAATGAAAACTTGTCGGTGGTGCGCTGGCGAGTGGCCGCGATCTGCGTGATGCGGCTGCCAGTGCCGCCGACGCTCACGTGAAGCCTGAACTGCGTCAAAATATCCACGAAACTGGTCACGATAGCAGGAAACGCGCTGGTCTCGTCGCTGTCTTGGTCCAAATCGGCCTCGACACGACACAAACGCGCGAAGAAATATTCCATTCGGAGCAGAATCTGTGCGTCCAAGTCGCCATTGCTCGCCTCGATAGCGTCATCGTGGCTTTGGATCTGCTCCTTTAACGTCTCGAACGACTGCGAGATCGTCAAAGGCGAGTCCCCTGGTACGTGTAGCTCTACGTCTACTACATGTAGTTGTGTCGACTCGCTTGCAGTGTTCAAACGCTCGTCACTCGCTGTATCCACCTCCTCCGACTCGCGTTGACCTGAGTGTCGCTCCCTGTTCGCCAGTTGGCCGAGCTGCTGCACCACGTACGAGACTGACGGACGTAGCTCTGGCTGCCACGCGCACATTCTCTTGACCAGTTCCCACGCTTCATGCTCGAATGGATCCGGTCTCTGCTCTAAGAGCGACTGGTCCAACAGCTCGTCACTCTCTAGAGTGTTGCGTAAAACTGCCTCAACAATGACCACACCGAAGCTGTGATATCCGACGCCAGCGACGGTACGCCACCGCTTCCTCTACGCTCGGGAGCTAGCCACCGTGCGTCATTATCAGCCGAGACGTCCGCAAGCAACCGCGGGCCATGTAGAGGTACAAAGTGCAGTCCGTTGAGCTTGGCCACCTCCTGCTTCGAGCTTTTAAGTCCAAGATACCGCCTCGTTTTCCTCCCGCGGCGTCTTCTATTGGTCGTTTTCTCCACCACAACGACGATGCTGTCGCTACGAAGCTCGTTGTGCACAATCTCGCGCTCATGAAGATACTGCAGACCCAACGCAGCCTCGTACAGTAGTCGCCACAACGGTGGCGTGTATTTCGTACCATCCGGGTACCGTGACAGGAACTCCATCAACGAGCCTCCACGAGCGCGTTCGAACACGAAAAACGGGCTGGAGCCAACGTGACACGCTCCGAACAACTCCACTATGTGCGGATGAACGAGCTCCGACCAAATGGCTGCCTGTCGTACAACAACTTCACTTAAATCCCCACCATCCGAAGCGTGTTGTGGCTCTTGGATCGCAACGCGAACGCCTTCCCACCAACTCTCGTCTCGCACTTCATACGTCGAGATAAACCAGTCGGGCGTAGACGTCACTAGTGCTCCTACGTGCTGGGCACACACATCGACAGCACGCACCACCAAGTCGAGCTGCGAATCCGAGAACGCGTAGCGGAAGTTGTCCAGCTCGTGCCGCATCACCGTCAGAGCCTCCATCGCCACGTCAGATCGCACCCACCTAGCAGCACTCGACTGCTCTACACTATCCAAATATTCGTGAAACGAAGTCGTGAGATCCCCAACGTCAAATTCCCATGCAAGTCCCCACTCCTCGGCACTTGGGCGCGAACTTTCACTACTGGAATCGCTCTCAAAAGTTGAATTTTCACTGTCAAATTCGGCAAATAGCGCGTCTAACTGGCGATGGATTTGCTGGATTTCAGTCGAAAAGCGCCGGGAATGAGCCATCTTCAGCGGCTCTCGACCGCCTCTCGACGGCAAATAGCGCGTCGTAAGGAAGCGCATGCTACGCAGCAGATGTTCGGTGCGAGTCTGCCAGTTGAGCTCCCCACTCTCCGCTTCTGCGAACACGATTCCTTCGTCCCAGAGTCGAGCTAGCACTGGCTCCAGTCGAGAGAGCACGTGAGCACACATCTCCACGCCAGTTTCTTGCGCTTGACTGGCACTACGGAGCGCAGTCCACACGTCAGGAGCGTGTAGTAAAAGCTCTGGGAACTGCTCGTCACTCCACGGACGCTCGCGCTCCGTCAGCGTCAGTACAACGCGCACTACCGCGTCCATTTCTGGCCGCTCCGTGGGGTCTGCAGACCTCATTGCTTCGACTAATTTCCACGCTGCGTTGCTCACTCCACCAGGCTGCTCTGGCTGCTCTTCCATGCTGCTAAAACTATCCTCCCAGTCCTCTATCGTAGCTGTACTGACAGCGTCTAGAATGACGCAGGCGAGCGCGTACACGTCGCTCTCTTTGGAGGCCTCCGTAGCCAGCTCTTTACACACAAGTGGCTTGTTATTGGAGTCTACACCTTTGCCAGGTGCTACTCCACTTCAAAGTGGTGAAGTAACCAAAACGTTATAAAATTTATTTTCAACTTTTACATTAGAATTTATGTCACTTCACAAATTTGTTGAGTAAACGCACTCCGTACTTCAAAGTGGTTTATTCGCAGTTCAAAGCGGATCAACCCACGTGCCCGCGAGCACTTCATTGCCACTCCTCGCTCTCACTTTTCAATCTTCTCCCAAGCCCCAAGCCTCTTCCTACTCCAAGATGCCCGGAGCCCCGCACCCTTCATTTGCCAGAGCACGTGTCCTCGACAGCCACCGCGCGGGCGTGAACTGGATGCTTGTGGCCGCCCACAACGGCATCCCCGCCACCACAGCACGTCGAATTGTGGAAGTAGGACGGGCGGAGCTGCTCCCGCGCGGAGGAGCCCGTCCGTCCAACTTCAAATGCACTCCGGAGATCGAGGCGGCACTCGAGGAGTACCTCGAAGAAAATTGCACCTACACTCTCAGTGCAATGAGAGACATGGTGCAATTCGACTTCGGCGTGGACCTAAGCACCTCGACAATCAGCAACAAGCTGATTGGCAAGTTGTACATGTACACCACCAAACAGGTATGTTACAATGGTAAAATATATATTATGTTTATTTTAAATAATATTTTTATTTTAATGAAACAGGTCCGCGTGGAGCCGATGACTTGCAACAGCGAAGTCAACAAAGCAAAGCGAATGGAGTTTGCCAAAGAGCTGCGCGAGCACATGAGTGCAGGAAACCTCATCGTATATTACGATGAGACAAATTATAACTTGTATTGTAAACGTAGCCAAGGGCGTGCCAGAAGGGGCGAGCGGGCGACGATCGTCTTACCGCCATCCAGGGGCGCCAACCTGCAAGTACAGTGCGCCGTTTCAACGGATTTAGGGCTGGTGCATTATAAGTTACAAAGGGGCAGCATCCGCATGGATGTTAACGCTGCTTTTGTTGAGGAAATCTACAATAAAGTCAAGTCCTCGCCAATCTTTCAAGAGCACTTCCAGGGCAAGAAAATCGTTGTCGTTCTCGACAACGCCCCTGCCCATAACCAAACGGAAGAACGCGTCGCTGAACGAGCCGACTTCGTACTTCTACGGCTGGCTCCATACTCTCCAATGTGTAACCCCATTGAAGGTACGCAGTATACTGTATTACAATATATTTTAAAAGGCCAGCGTATATCGACTTTTGAGCTGGTACTACAGGGTGTTTCAGCGTTCTTAAGGCCAAGATCAAGGCCGACCTTGCCTTGTCCCGTGAAGAGCTGGTTGCGGAGCGTCCTCGTGGGACGGTTGCGGCTGCTCAAATGGAGATACTGGAGCGCGCGGCGAGGCGCGGCATCGGCTGTATCGACTTGCGCCTTGTTAGCAGGATGGCACTGCATTGCCAGCATGCCGTTGCTGCCGCGGAGCGCATGGAGGACATGCAGTACGGCACCTAGCTGCAGTTCAACCTGAGAGAACCACTTTGCTCTGCGTTTTCACCACTTTGAATTTCCTTTTTAGTGTTACTTTTTTCTAATCAAATTTTTGTTTTCATATTTTTAAAAATATCCGTTTTGAAGTGGAGTAGCACCATCTTGACCTGGCAAAGGTGTACAACCACGCAGTCTGACGTGATATTGCCATGTATTACACCCAAATCGTGGAGATATTGCAGTCCTATTGCCGCTTCTAGCACTCTTTTCCACACTTTTCGAGGACTCTGGACAACTTTTGCATACTCAACAAGAGACACGCAGTCCGCTAGACACTCGTAGATTATAAACGGCGTGACGTTTAGTCCGTTCCTGCCAAGTTGTCGGACGCTGCTCGTGTGTGCACGAATGTTGCGACGCAATACCTTTGAGTTTGTATACTCGGTTTGTGCAATATGATGGGTTAAAAGGCAATCAAATAGTCTATTTGATTGGATAAATGTCAATAAGGGCAATGGCTGAAGGAAAGAGGCCAGCGTCCACCCAACTTAAGATAAGCCGAGGGATGTGGTGGAGAGGTGGCCATGTGATGCCACCTCATATCCAAAACTGACGGCAACTACCAGCTACGTGTGTAAGCAACATTTCAAGTACTTCTCAATGGCTGCTATTGCTAAGACTGGTGGTGGCCTCGAGAAATTTAATGGTAAGTCCTACACTATGTGGAAGGGCAAGCTGTTGACTTACGTCAATCAGTTGGACCATCAGTACCAAACGAAGCTGTAAGAGAAGGAACAGCCTGAAGCGAAGGTGCTCATGGCCGACTTCCTGCGGGACAATCCTAAGAAGCCAGCACCACCGACCACCAAAATGGACGAGCAAGAGGCGCTCTCGGCGCGGTGGGACGTGATGCACTGGATGAGAGGAAGGGGCGACTTACAAAACCTGCTCAATCAGGTCCTTCCAAACTTCTTTCTCTCTACCCTTCCCGATGTGGTGTCCTCCATGGACCCATGTGAAGTCATTCGACTTCTCGAGAAGGACTTCGGCCAAGGTGACGCTGCGGGCCTGATTGAGCTGACCCGGGCCTGGTCGAAGGTGTTGCGTAGCCCTTGGCGTGACTTAAGGACACTTTTCGCGCAACTTAAGAAGGCAAAGAACGAGATTAACAGAAAGTCTCGGAAGCTGCTCGGCCAGGACATAGTGACCGAGTCTTGGCTGTGCATTGAAATCCTGTCACAACTCTCAAGTGAATTTTGGGCTTCAGCGATCTCCATGAAGAAAGAGGACTTCACGGTGGATAGGGTCGAAGTGGACTTACGCAAGACCTTTGGTGACCGATCCAAGAAAGAAGTGGGTTTAATGGATAAAACCCAAGCGATTCCTGTCAACAATGTCGGGGTCAAGAGAAAAAGCGGTGCAGGTGAGGGTGGAAAAAGGTGGTTTTACTGCCTCAAGAGTGGACACTTTAAATCGGACTGTTCGGTGATGATCGCTGATAGGGATCCTAACCGCGAAGGTGGGCCCCTTTTTAGGACCGATATCAACACTGCACCGGGTGCTAAGAAGGCCAAGAAGGCGAAGACAACCCCGATTAATACCCTCAAATCGGTGGTGCTAGAAGGGGAAAAACGCCTAAATGAGTGTGGGAAGACTCTTCTGGAAGAGTGCATTGAGGACGAGGAGATGGACGACATTGAGGATCTGGACCCCGCCTACCATAAAGGTTTTGAGGATGGTGGCAACGTGCCGAATACCCCTGTCAGGTCCCCACTACAAATGGACGACATCGAAGAGGAGGTACGTAAGCAGCATCACTCCTATTTGAGAGCCTTGAAGAAGTTAAAACTGACCGATGATATGTGGGTGGTTGATACTGGTGCAGGCCGAGCTATAACATCAGATCGAAGCTGGTTTAGTGGGAGCCTAAAACCGAGTCAGGGCCACACTTTTACCTACGGAAACGGGAGCTTTTCTCATAGCTCACCAAAGGGATCAATAAAACTTACCGTTTTAAACCCTAAAAAGAGGTTGAGTGTATTAACACTAAGTGATGTCTCATTTGACCGTAAGTGTGATAGTAACTTGTTGAGTGCCTACTATTTAGCTCGACAGGGATTTAGGCACTTTCAGTCAAAATCAGGTGGATTTCTATTTTTTATAGGGAATGACCAAAAATTGCTCTTTGCAGCAGTGGCAATAGGAGAAGTCTATTACTTACCGAGTATTAAACCGACTAAAAGGCGTGTTTTTAGCACTCAGAGTGGTAGCTTAGCTAACCTTTTAAAGGTGTGGCACCTAAGACTGGGTCATGTCGGTAAGGAACGTCTAATTAGGACTATCAGCAACCAGAAAATTGAGGGTCTTCCTCATATTTCGTATTCAGAGCTTAAGAAGGTCTCGTTTTTCTGTAAAACGTGCGCTCAAATGAAGGACAAAAGAATGTCATATAGAAATTTGGTGGGAAATAAGAGTAATGAACCACTACATACACTTCATATGGATTCAACCGGACGATTAAGAGTTAACGGTTTATACGGATCTTTTGGGTACCGATACGCATTGGCTGTTGTAGATGACGCCACTGCTTATAAGTGGTACATTATCGTAAAATCCTTAAAAGAGGTACCTGGGAAAATTAAGTCTTTATTGAGGAAGCTGTCGTGTCAATTTCCTCTTTATAAGGTCAGAAGAATAAGGACTGATGGTGGAACAGAATTTATAAACACTGAAGTGTCCAAAATATGCGATAAATTGGGCTTACAGTTTGAAAGCTCTTATGTTAAATCTCCAGAAGAAAATGGCAGTGCTGAGCGAGCCCACCAGACCATGATGGCTGGTGTTAGGTGTGCTATTAGGGGTGCTAATATGGCTGCTAAATGGTGGCCTGAGGCCCTACTTTATATGGTGGATGTCACTAATCGACTACCAATGGCTAGACTGGGAATGAAAACCCCTTATGAGTTACTGCACCGCCATAAACCAAAGGGGTTAGGGTTAAGAATTTGGGGCTCAACTTGCTATGCGCATATACCAAAGTCAAAACGAAAGGATCCTAAACTAGGCGATCGGGCTATAGAATGTAAGTTGTTCTGATTTTCGCCTAAACATAAAGGGTACCGACTCCTGGACATTAAGGCTAATAAACACCTTATTGCCCGTGATGTAAAGTTTAGCTCAGCTGGTACTGAAGCAATGATCAGTCGATCGTTCCCTATCGAGGACTGTAGCGTCAACTTTGAAGAAGAAAAGGTAATTCAAGGCCTAGGTAAAAGAACTAGACCTAATCTAGAAGTTGAAGTGCAGGATATTGACACCACTGGCCCAGATTGTGTCTCTCGACCACCGACACCCAGACAAGTGGGAGTGCAAAACGGTGCTGTTCGTAGGTCTAAAAGACGACGACTGCCAAATGTGCGGCTCAACGACTACGTGACAGAGTTAAATACTGTAGCTATTAATAAGACAGCCAGAATACCTATTCCTAGGTCAATTAATGAGGCCAGGAAAAGCCCACATGCGAAGCAGTGGGAGTGTGCAATAAAGACAGAGTATGACGCCCTTTTAAGTAATAAAACGTGGGAATTAGTACCCCTTCTTACTGGAAGACGGCCATTGGGTTGTCATTGGCTGTTTGATGTTAAATACAGAGCCGACGGCTCAGTGGACCGTTTTAAGGCACGGTTAGTTGTGCAAGGAAATACACAATTGTATGGAATTGACTATAAAGAGGTTTTTGAACCTGTAGCAAGATATGAATTGTTGCGCTTATTACTGGCATTAGCCACAATATTAGAGCTGCATCTACACCAAATGGATGTATCTACAGCGTTTTTAAACGGAGTTTTAAGTGAAAACATCTACATGAGGCAACCAATGGGGTTTCGCAAAGGAACTGAACATCTAGTTTGCAAATTTTTAAAGAGCCTGTATGGACTGAAACAGGCACCTAGAATTTGGTATGAAGTTTTGAATACCTTTTTAAAAACCTTAGGCTTTTTTAGATGCAAGAAAGAGCATTGCTTGTATCTAAAACGGTGGGAGATAAATGGGGTTCAGCACGTCCTTATAGTGTGTGTGTATGTGGACGACCTGACAATTGCAGGATCACATCTAAGTTCTATAAATGATCTTAAAGCTAAGCTGTCTGACAAGTTTACTATGAAAGACTTGGGTGAGTTGCACTACCTGCTTAAAATGGAGATTAAAAGAGACCTTACAAATAAGACTCTACGCCTATCTCAACAAAAGTATATTAACGACCTTTTAGATAAGTTTGAGATGAGAGACTGCAATACTGCACCTACACCACAAGCAAAAGCTGTAGTCTTAGAGAAGGATAAGACATTGTCACCCGAACAAATAGCGGCACAGTCATTCGACTACAGAGGGTTAGTTGGGTCCTTAATGTACCTAGTTAGGGGAACTAGACCTGATATCGCTAATGCTGTCAGAGAGCTTAGTAAATATCTATCTTGCTATAATAAGACTCATTGGAGAGCGGCTCAGCGAGTACTAAAGTACTTGAAAGGAACGTCGAGGTATGGCATTGAGTACAATGGTAATAGTACTATTAAGTTAGAGCTATACACAGACGCGAGCTTCGCGAATGCATCTGAAGAAAGGAAATCAATTACAGGATATGTATCAATTCTCGCTGGTGCATGCATTACCTGGAAGAGTATTAAGCAAGATTGTATTAGTCTTAATACAGCGGAATCAGAACTAGTCGCCGCTAGTGAAGGAGTAAGAGAAGCAATGTGGTTACGATTACTACTGCAAGAATTAGGCTACGAGCAATTACTACCGACTCATTGTTGGTGTGATAATACGGCCGCAATCAGTATTATTAAGGACCCGTGCAGTCACTCTTCTACTAAGCACATTGATATTAGACATCTTTTTGCACGAGATAAACATGAAGATAAGCAAATCAGGGTTACTTATTGTAGCCCCAATGATATGATAGCGGATGCCTTAACTAAACCCTTGAGTCGAAATCAGTTTGAAAAACTCCGATTTATGATGGGCGTTAAAGACCTTAAATAAGAGTTCCATGAATAAAGATTGCCATACGTAAGTAAGATTTGGCTTCAAAGATATGTTTACAAGATCAAAGTGGAATTTCAATTATTGGCAGCAAAGCCAGATAAAGTTAACAATAAAGGGCACATTTTAGTGTAAGGGTTTGGTAAAAGTACGGCTTTAGCCATAAAACCTTAGTTTTACACGTCACCTAGCCCTCTAAAAGTAATTCTGACATGTCCGGGCTATCAGCCCCTTGTCCCAGAGTATATTTTACTCTTTTTAAGTTTAATTCTATCCTGACTCTTTAAATACCACCAAGTAAAGCACGAATGGTCAAAGACTGGAAATTCACGGGTACCGGATAACCGGACTTTCGCTCCGCAGTGCCTCCAATGAGCCATTGGCGATCCGTTTAGGTGCAAAAAAGCCAGGACACGAGGGCCGCTGTGGCCTATGCCGGATCACTGTCGCCTGATGGGATACGGTGACGCTTGTGAACCCCCCCCCGAAGGGTAACGTCGGGACCTGCGCTTGACAGCAGCAAAATAGAGAGTGAGCAGCTCTCGCAAAAGTCGGAAACTTCAAATACATAAGCTAAGTTACTTTTAATATGAAATAAAGTATTGCTTCTGATTTTGGGTTGCGAATTTAAGCTTGGGTATGTGCCCAGCATTCAAAGTTATACTAAATCCCAGTTCGGTAGTTTGATTTTGCTATTTTGGGCATGTAAATCTGAGAAAGGTTGAAGTCGACTTCGAGAAGGATCTTTGGTGACAATATGAAGAAAGTTGACGGACAATAAGAAGAAAGTTTATGGCAACGCTGGCTTCTTTAGTGGGAGTGTTGCGACGCAATACCTTTGCGTTTGTATACTCGGTTTGTGCAATATGATAGGTTAAAAGGCAATCAAATAGTCTATTTGATTGGATAAATGTCAATAAGGGCAATGGCTGAAGGAAAGAGGCCAGCGTCCACCCAACTTAAGATAAGCCGAGGGATGTGGTGGAGAGGTGGCCATGTGATGCCACCTCATATCCAAAACTGACGGCAACTACCAACTACGTGTGTAAGCAGCAACGAACCTCGTATCTCGGTACGAACCAGTCCGGAACTGTCCCAATCCCTTCGTCTACAGCCCCAGCGACCTCTTGTATCGCGTGATCTACACTGCGCGACAAAATATTTCGGACACTCACCTTTCTATCTATAGCTTGGCTTCTAGAACGAGTTGAGACGTGCTATTTAGATATGTTTAGCCAATTCGATAATGGCATGTGACACGGAGGTAGGCTGGCATACAAGGAACTAAAAATGGTCTGCGACACGATTTTCGGACACACTTTTATCTTATTTCTAGTAATGATTGTCCTAAGCGGACATCCAATCCTCTTTCTGACTTCATTTTAGTAAAGGTCGCGGACCACCCATCACTGACGAAGAGCGAGGGAAGATTAAGGGCGTTCATGAAGCAAACGTGGGGGTGAGAGAGATCGGTCGCCGCCTCAAGGTCGCCGGACGGCGTGAGCTACGTACTGCGCACTGAAGACAAGCGCGCGGCAAAGCCTGGTAGGTCGAAGAGCCTCACAGACCGCCAGATTCGGCAGGTCGTACGAGGGGCTGCCACGGGAAACTATTCGGCAGCGCAGCTGAAGGCTACGTATGAGCTAGAATGCTCTGCTCGTACCGTTCAGAGGCTGTGGTCTAAGGTTAATTTTCTAGTATACTGAAAGATGGACAGAGCGCTCCCACTCACACAGGAGCACATGGATGCACGCTAAGAGTTCGCAGAAAGGCTTTCGTCTGCAGCCCAGAAGGAGATTGTTGGCCTATGATTATTTTTTCTGACGAGAAAAATTCAATCTAGATGGACCTGATGACTATAAACACTATTGGAGGGACCTGAGACGTCCTGCTCGGCGTCATTTGACGCGCCAAAATGGAGGAGGGTCGCTAATGGTGTGGGGCGCGTTTGGCGCTAAGGGTAAGTCGGAATTGGTTGTTCTGGAGGGGCACCAGAAGTCGTCGAACTACATCTACACGGTGTCTGAGAACATGCTTCCGTTCGCGCACGCTAAATACGGTACAGACTTTGTGTACATGCAGGACAATGCATCTATTCACGCTTCCTGCGAATCCATAGGGTTCTTTAAAGAGCAAGGAGTGACGGTGCTCGACTGACCTGCAAGATCCCCAGACCTGAACCCAATCGAGAGCGTGTAGGCAATCCTCGCAAGAAAGGTGTACAGTAATGGTAAGCAGTATGCGTCTGTACCTGAGCTAGCAGTTGCTGTGAAGGCTGCATGGGATTCGGTTACGATGGACGAGCTGATGAAGTTGATGGACTCGATGCCATCGCGATGCTTTGAGGTAGCACGAAAGAACGGTGATAAGACGCATTACTGATAGTTTATCGCTTAGGACAATCATTCTTGCCCCCACTAAAAATAAGATAAAAGTGCGTCCGAAAATCGTGTTGCAGACCAGTTTTTAGTTCCTTGTATGCCAGCCTACCGACATACTCGGAAATCTAGCTCCGCGTCACATGCCAGCTATAGCCCTATCGGATTGGCTAAACATATCTAAATAGCCCGTCTCAACTTGTTCTAGAAGCCAAGCTATAGATAAAAATGTAAGTGTCCGAAAGATTTTGTCGCGCAATGTAGCAGCTCTTGCTCCTCCACGGGCATCAGCTCGTTCTCGTGCTTTAATTTTTGTCGTTCATATTGCAGGGACAAGAGAATTTCCACTATCTCACTTGTTGCCAATATTTGCAACTCATTTTGTGACTTTTCCGAACCCAACACGTTCGCTGAAAAATCAATTTGCTGTTTGTAGTCTTCTTGCCAGCGTTATTGCCACTCCTGACTTTCGTCCTCGGGCGCTTCTTGGGTCAGTAAAACGTCGATCGGTAGATGCATCCAGTGGACTTTGCGGCTCGTTCTCGGCGCCTCCAATAGCGTCTGGAGCAGAGAATTCGTCTCGTCTTCGCTTGCGCCTTCCTAAAAGGCCGTAAGTTACTAAAGTTGCTGCACCAACGCCTCGAATGTCGTCTCCTGATGTCTACGGCGGCTGAGCACCTCCAGAAATTCGACAATATCGCCTTCTTTGTCCGACAATTGGACGCTGTGAGTTTGCAGGAACGTGTTCAAGGCCTCCAGGCCAGATATGAGGCTGCGGAACACGACATGAGCACCAGATTTACATAGTGGAGCCAGAGATGACAGCACATGCGTAGAGAAGGCGAGAGTATGCACATGAGCGACGCGCGCTGCCAAGCGCGCCGAAATGATGAATGAGCCGATACAGGTACCCTTTTTGAGTCCGGTTTCGTACTTAATGGTGAGGCTAATGGCTTCATTATGTTGTCTTTGTTAAAGTATGGAATGGGTTGATTACAATAGCTAATGACCTTAAAGAACTTATTCATCGATTAAAGTGTATCTAAATCATTGTGATGGGTACACTTCCGTGTGGGGATCCTTCACCACATGAGCAGCAGGTTGTAGTGTGTGCTGTAGTTTCACCTTGGTTTCACCTGCAGCTGGACTCGGGCTGGGGAAACTTCACCCGGATGTGGCTGCCATTGCAGGCAATGGGTGGAGCACGGAATGTCTTTAGTTGTGTCCGACGCGTGGTCAGCTGAGGACTCCGATTTCACTTGGACTGTCAGTATCCCTGTGGACTGCATTAGGATTTAGTATTGCCAACTGCATGTTTCATTTCTGTGATGAAAGGCATTCATGTCCACTATCCTTGCTGCCTAGTCACCCAAGATGAGTGGCTAGCAGCACATTGACGAGAACGAGCTGGTCAGCACCAGACTCATGATTTCGTTCACTTTGCAATTTGCATGACACAGATTACATCAATACACTCGGTCTCTACTTCCGTGCAGGTTGGCCCCCGCATCGTCGTGTGTTTCCTGTTTTGCTTCAAAATTCCCGGGCTATACTACAAAGAATTATTTAGTAGATTTTTCACTGTCCGTGCGCCATCTACCGACGTACGCCAGTGACGTTGAAGCTACCTATTGCTGTTCGTCTATCGATTGACTGACGACGAGAGCAACTATCAAGACCCAGCTCTTATCACTTCAAGATGATGCGAGGATCTGATGAAGACAGACCCCAAATCGGTGCAGTACCGGTATTCCTCCCGATTTTACAACCCAAGATCAAGTCAGTTTCGCACGAGGCACTGGTAAAATGGAAGG